GTCTATCGGAGAGGGAGAGGGAGACGGGAGTGCGGGGCGGGGCGTGTCTATCGGAGAGGGAGACGGGAGTAGCGCAGTCCGAGCTCGTCGACGACCTCCTCGATGGCGTCGAGGCAGCTCTCCAGCTGGTCGCGCGAGTGCGCCGCAGACAGGCAGAACCTAAACCACGCGCACACTTATTATTTCTCAAAGGATATTTAGGGACTTTACAATACGAAGCGGTTCGAGGAAGTTATGTTCGGACACTTTTCGGCAAATGAAATTGTAAAAATGAGATTTTGTCGTGAGATAAAACGATGAGTACCTGATGCGCGCCTTGTAGAGCGGCGTGGCGGGGAAGCCGACGCCGACGGTGGCGATGCCGCGCGCGGTGAGCCGCTCCACCACCGCCGCCATGTTGCTGAACGTGTACACCAGCATCGGCACCACGGGCGAGTCCTCGTGCCCGTACGCCACCACGCCCAGCGCGCGCAGCCTGCACCACGCACCACACACCTCGCTCACTGCCCACTCGCCCCAGAGCACGAGGATCACCAGGTGCTCAGGGCAGCGGGGGTACTCGGTAGTTGAAATAAAAGTTAGCGACATAGGAACAAAAAGTTTCCGATCTCAGTGATATTGTAAATGCGATGTATGGATGTGGCGGTGTGGGTGTGGGTGAGGGTGAGGGTGAGGGTGAGAGTGAGAGTGAGCGGCGCACCTGGTGCGGAAGTAGTGCGTGTTGTCGCGCAGCGTGCGCACGCGACGCAGGCCGGACGGGGTGCGCAGCGCGCGCATGGCCGCCAGGATCTGCATGCACACAGCCGGAGACATGGCGTGCGCGTACGCGTGCATGTGCCCGTGCGCGCGCAGCCACTTTATTAGCTTTGCCGAACCTGCGGAACGATTTCAACGCGAATGCTTATCGTATTTCTGGATCGAGCGCACGTGCACCGCGAACGCACGTTTAACAACAGAGCTAATTGTTATGATTCAAATAGTAATATAATATAAGTCGCAACGGGAGTATCAGAGGAGAGAGAAAACATTAAACATTTAGTCGCTCGAATCCACCAGTCGGCGAGGGGCTGGGCCGGAGGGGCAGGAGGTACCGGCGATGTAGCCGCCGGCGGCGCCGAAGCTCTTGGTGAAGGTGCCCATGAGCACGTCGACGTCGGCGGGGCGCACGCCGCAGTGGTCGGTGACGCCGCGCGCGTGCGCCCCCAGCGCGCCCACCGAGTGCGCCTCGTCTAGGTACACCTGCAGCCCCAGCCGCTTCTTGAGTGCGATGATGCCCTGCAGCGGCACGATGGACCCCTCCATGCTGTACACGCCCTCCACCACCTGCGCACACCAAGCCCTACCTCAGCCGCAGTCGGTCCTCGTCTTCCTGCTCCGGTCACACATTCCAGTAAATTAAATGATAACCAATTTTTTGTTTTATAACGAATCGAAATTAAAAGCTTTGCGCACTCTGGACATCGGCGATGGTTGTAAGTGTAAGTAAGCTTTTCTTCAATACTATTTGAGCCTTTTTATACATAATGTTAGTTTATTTTTTAATTGTGTATAGCTGTTCGGTATCTTAATTAATTAATAAATAAATGAGTCTGTTACTGTTGAGAATGTTAGAAGGTAGTAGTGGTGCATTATTGCGGAAGGGGGAGGGGCGACTCACAACAACGATATTGGTCCAGCGGCGCTCGGCGATGGCGTCGCGCGCAAGGCGCTCCAGGTGGCGCAGGTCGTTGTGGCGGAAGACGCGCACGGTGACGCGCGCCAGCCGCAGCCCGAGGATCAGCGAGGCGTGGTTGTTCTCGTCGCTGAGCACCAGCGCGCCCGGCCCTAGCAGGCCCGGCAGCCCCAGTGCGTTCGTCGCGAACCCCATGCCGCACACCAGCGCCGCCTGCACTCCGTATGAGATAGTAAATGAGATGGGCGCCCACGTTTTGTTCCTATGGAGGAGGAAAGGAGGGGTACAAGAGAGCACCTCTACGCCGAGGAAGCGCGCGGTGGCCTCCTCGAGCTCCTCGTGCAGCGGGCAGGAGCCGAGCTCGGCGCGGGACGAGGCCAGCGCCAGCCCGTAGCGGCGCGTCGCCTCGGCCGCCGCGTCCGCGCACGGTCCCGTCGGCTCCGCGAACCCCAAGTAGTTGTAGGAGCCGAGGTTAATGCAGCGCCGCTCCTCCCCCGTGAACCTGGCAACGGATGACGCGATGCAGCCGAGGCGGCCGAGGCGGCAGGGGGCAGGAGGAGCCCTGCCCGCGAGCTGCAGGCGGCGTGCGCTCACCGGAAGGACCAGTTGTAGTCGTCGGTGCGGCGCTCCTTGAGAGTGAGCTCGGCGCCGGGCGCGGAGCAGATGGGACGGTTGAAGCAGTGTCGCACGCGCCGGTACACGTAGCGCGAGAAGAACTGCTCGAAGGGGTTGTACAGCGGCGCGTACCCCTGCAACGAGCACACATTCTCTACCACACCGCACCTCACTACTTTCCATTATATTATTCTTTATACCTACACATATGTTAACAATGGTAGAGCCCGCTTTAACATCTTCGTGCAAATTGTCCCGGCTCGCCCGGTGAAATACCACGACCACACAGAAGACAGGCGAGAAATGGAAGCTATTCCGCGTTTCGTCTGATGAGTGTGCGTCCCGGAGGCCTAATTTAGTCCTCTTTCCCTTCCCACCCCTTCTTATAAGGAAAGGATGGCAAAATGGAAGTGAACTTTCCGGATGATGAAAATACTTCCTTTCTGTGCATCCTCTCATCCGTCGATTAAAGGTAGGTAACGCATATACCACTGCGTATGTCTATGGGCAACGGTCACTTCGCTATTTCAGCGATTTCAGGGGGACGCTCGCTCGTTTGCCATCTTACGATATAAAAAAATAAAAAAACACATTAATATTCATCTGTGTTCAGTACAGAACAAGAAAATAAAAAACTTTTGGAAATATCTTAGATTCGCGTTTAATTAGAAGAAGTACATTAGTGGTGCGACATGTGTGCGCGCGAGTGCGAGAAATGCGAGAGTGAATTGAACGAAAGAGTGAGTGCTTGCAGTTTAGTGACGTCGCCCCCGCGCCGCTCGGCCAGGTGTCAAGTTCGGCGCAGACAATCTGTATTATGGGGTAACATCGGTGATTCATTTATATTTGTTAAAATCATTTCCTCCCGCATTTGCACAATAAGCTAAAAACTCCTTATTAATAGTTATTGAACGATGAATCGGCGGCGAAAGAAGACGTGGGTGTTTGCGGATGCAAAGGAGCGGTCCCATAGTCTCGGTGAATCGTCTGTGTTCACTCAACAAGCACATACATGCCAGGAGAGCAAGGAGCGAGAGGATATTAAAATCTGACGGGTGCTTGTCGGCGGGTGGCATGCGGCAAGTGTAGCGGTGATAAAAAACGCTTCTTATCGTCGCGTCACCGATGTGCGTTATCGGCATAGCGCCGCCCGATAACTTATTACAATTGCCAGTATTACTGTGAAAATTACAACTGCGACATCATTACAGTACTTTTGATTACTGTTCGGCGGAAATTACTTATGTGTATGTGCGGCAAAGAGACACTTACGTCACCTCCTTGCGGAGGTGAAAACATAATTTACGTGAGTGCAATCAAAATTTAACGTCAGGATATATTGATAATTTAATTTCTTTCTTTATTAAAAATGAATTATTGTAGTAGTTTTTAAATTAGACGTCTTTATGATAAAGGACAGAATCAACACATTTGAAGCCGTTCTCCGCCCAACCGCAAGTCCCTGTTAGCCCTCGGGGTAACTAGACGACGACACTAAGTCTCACAACTCCAGACCCGAACATTCTGTAGGCGGTACGAATTTATCATTTACTGTTACAATCCAGGCCAAGGTGAAGTTGTTCAGATCAATTATATCTGTATTCTAAACAAGTTTGACTCGGCCCCGTCCGTAATGTGCGAGGCACGCCGCTCGCAATGCGGCGGCGGCGGCGGCGGCGGCGGCACACCGACGCGGCGGGGCCGGAATGATGCCGACACCGGCTAACTATTCTTAATTAAGATTGTATGAGTCTACGCGCTACCATACTTCGTGTCAAGTGGGAGCGCATGCGCCTCTCCCAGATGACCATACGGTCATCTTTGACTTATATTTCCAGGTCGCTTCAACCGAGTAGATTATGCGCAATCCCGTTGCGTGGATCGCAGCATGGTGCGTGCGACGTCTGCCAACCAGTGTGGCTCGGCCGTGAAACAATATAATGCAATGGCGCAGCCGCGACGTTATTATTTTTCGGCACTGCTTCATCCACTAGTGCAGTGAACACTGGCACTAATTATGTCATCACCTCCCGCGCCTCCCGCGCCGGCCGCACTCTCTTCCTATCGACTATCACTTTCAACATGTGTGACACGCGGGGCACACCGGCGAACTGTGATGCATCACATCATTATCACAGTTTAGATAGATAGACAGATTCATCTAATCACTATTGAGTTCTTCAAGCAACAAGTAACAGATAGAGTTGTTTCAGTTACTATGTAATGTTTCGCAAATTGAATAGTTTCACAGGCGATGTAGTGTTAAGGTGTACCTAGTGCTAAATAAAAGTGTGTATGTGTGTGTATGTGAAGTGAAGATCGCATTGTATAAAGTACCTCGCGGTTGCGCTCCGTGGCCACCTTGGGCCGGAAGAGCAGCTGGTTGACGAAGCCGAGCAGCATGAGGATGTAGAGGCCGAGATGCGTGAGCGCCGCCGTCACCAGCGAGCACTTCTCGAAGGAGCCGGGGAAGGTGTCATACTGCGACCAGTCCATGGCCGGCAGCCCCGCGTAGTCTCCGCCCATTCTCTAGAACGCCCGATCTCACTTTAAAATATTTATGATACATCGAGTGCTATTGCTTTTGCTTATTTAATAATTCTTCTTCTTGTTTTGACAGATGTAGAAGAGTAAACTGTTGGCATGATGATAAGCTTCCAGCACTTTGGTAAACAACTTTTTATAAAGTGATATCCTGCGCGTGTATAAAGTCTATTTTGTTGAATATTTCCTCCAGGAAAAATATTCGGATCCCACATAACTAACGTGACCATTAATTTTTGACTCAAAACGGGACATTGGTTTATTTAGGGTAATTAACAGGTGGTCAACAAAACATGTTTTTTACATATTACTATTTTCAAGTTTTTTCTTTAATTAAAATCAGTAATTTTAAGCTACAAATAAAAAATACATATACGCGAAAGTTTAAGTTATATTTATTAGAGAAACAAGTTTACTTTAAACTGAGCATACAAATAGTAGATGTTGATGATATTTAGTAACAATGAAACTCGGCACATTTTTTAATATTCGCATTAATTAGCAACGTCACAGGTTTTCTCATATCATATGAGTTGACAGATGATGCGTTCTCGCTCATGATGATGCGTTCTCGCTCTGATGCGATCACACGCATCACACGCATCTGCCGACTCGAATGCTTAATTTTTTGCACGGTTTAAAAGAAATGGACAACTTGGCGACCGGAATTCTTTTCGGAGACACCGGGCCTCGTAACTATAAAAAGGGACAGTCCCGCTCAAAACGGGACGTCTGGTAAAGTTACACATATAATAACACAAATTAAAACAACGACCACCTCAAAGTTACACAAATACTAGGTACTGTGAATATTTTTCATTCCATATTTGCCATTAGAGGAAACACTGCCAAGCACGGAGCCTCCTCCTCGAGTATAATGAGTAAACTTACGCAGTAATATAATGTGTATAAATGAACAACGCTGCTGCCAGCGACCAGCGACCAGCGACCAGCGACCACTTCTTGCGGAGACTGTATGCGATACAATATAGACGAATTGCTGAGCGCGCGGAACAAACGAACACCACTTGATACTCAAGGAAAATAACATAAAATTATATGAACAGCTAAGTTTATTTGCTCGTTAATTAATAACTAATAGTCATGCAACAATGTAAACAGGTAACAATTGCTTCAACAAATATATTGTAAATAAATTATATTTTTCCTTTAAGCGTTCGCAATGTCCGTTGAGGGCAGAGTGTAATGAAAATGTTGTAGGACATTGTTATGAGCGAGAGCGCGTGACGCCGCAACATCGTGACGATACTGCGACGCACGCGCATCATTAACTACTTTACGTTCCTATAAAGTATACAATAGTAAATATTGTACGATTTCATGAAAATAAAATATTTAAATTAACATAACTAGTGTATGTGTAAATGTTGTGTGTGTGTTGTGGTACAGCCAAATGCAACAAGTCGATGCTTGAGCCATACAACCAAAGAAAGGAAGTGGTTACTCACACAATACTAGTAGACTTTACTAAAACTATAAAAACAAATATATTAGGATCAGTCTGTCACACAGATGATAATGTTACAGACAAGAATGTATAGCATCATTACTTAATGCTGGACATTTGTTTGGAATAACATCAGTTGTATAATATATTATATATAGTAGCACAAATACAAAGTACAATAAACTGCATATCATATTGTCATATGTACATCTTTCCTTGTTCTTTGTAAAAGAGATCTAAGTGAGAAATATGAGGCTGGCTGTGTAACTGCAGTTCCTCTCGTATTGTAAATGTCCATGGATATTAATGAATACCTCGGTGTTCCTGCGGCACATTTGGTCCACCTCTTATATAAAAAAAAGTATGAAGTTTTACAAGAGTCTTTAGTGGCTTTGTTTGTTACAATCCAAGAACTAGATTGAACAGCAACCCCACATACCAAACAAAAATCAAGGTTGCTTATAGTAATGAATTTTAAGGATGAAAGTACTTGTATGAAAGTTTGCTTTGCTTTACTTTGTCACAATTATGTGTGGCTAATCAGATTTGATGATTAAAGAGTGTGCAAAAATGAAAAAAAGTTAGATTACTACTGTGTGATTTGCTTACGCTGCACCAAGTGTGTGAACATTTAATATTTGTTTTACTTTTAGTTTAATCAAAATCTGTTCAATGGTGCATATTGAACAAAATTTAATGTTAAACTAAGTTATATTTTATATTAAAATGAAGTTTAATTAACACTCTTTTTCCAATTACCTTTCTGCTGCTTCTTTATTAACAGAATTGTATCAAGTACAATATAAGAATGTGACTGACTTACAGAACAGAGTGGTTAATCTACTTTTCCATTTACCTGTTATATTTAAACATTCAATAGAATAGTTTTACATTTTATATGTCTTATTATTATTTTTTTATTTCACACGTGAACTAGACTACACGAGAAAAGCAATTAATTAAAAAAAGTAATAGAAAATAATGAAATGCGGTTGTGTGATTTATTCGTTTCAATTCGAGCAAACCGGAAAGTGGACAGTGTGCTTATTCATCCGCGATATTATAACGGCCTTGATATAGTTCTCTATTTGTTTCGTATCACGGAAGATCATGTTTTGTTACAATGTTTTGTCACTAGTATTTGATAATAAAGAAGACGAAGCTGCGGGTGTGTCATTCATAGCAACTCAAAAAGTTTAATTTTGTAGACAATACAAAATAATTACTTACAGTAGCTTCATTATTTAAATTTGCTGTTTTTTGATAACCATTTTTAAGACAACTGATTTTTCCATTCAATATTTTCTCCTCATTTTCAAAATGTTCTTCTGTTTGGGTGAATTCAGTATCAGTCGAGCGGGCACATCCTCGCATTGCAACTCCCGCCATCCTTACACTTATGATCTAAAACAAGTGATATCGAAGAACACGCGATATGTGTTATCGCTATTTCATGAACATTCATTAACTAAAAAGCGCTGTTCTTCAGACAATTATGGATAAACGTTTGAAGCGCTGCATGGCGCTATAGCGCTATTATGACAATATGGACATTGAAACGTCAATGTCATATACTACACTTACAGACTGTTTTACCCACATAACCACATTATGTTACTGCTGCATGTTGCCATATATTTTGCAATGAAAATCGAGGGAAAACAATTTTTCCAAAATTGTTTTCCCTCGAATAATACTTTCAAACGTCAAAAAGGAAACTGACAGATTGATTTTTTAGGTTGGTAGCAACGTAGATTTGTTCATAATATTGCTAGTATTGAAAATGTCAATTTTTATTCTCCGTTTGTGTATCTAATTAGTCAAGAGTCCCGTCTCTTATTTTATATACTCTTTGTGAAACAAGTGTTTACCATACCCAGAAACTCCAATGCTCACATTTAAATATGGTGGATTAGACATATTCCGCCCACGGTATGGCAACGATCCTCTCTAGGCAAAAACATATTTATAGTAGCCAGTAGTATTATAAACTCTTTGGTAGCCATAATAGAATTCATTAAACTTAAACGTTTTTGAACTAAGGCATTTGCTTCAAGTTATATGCTAACTAAGTTACTTTCTTATTACTTTTGCTAATGACAGCCTTTTTTTAATTATTGATACTTGTTTATGTTTTTTTAAGAAAGATAGTTTATACTTAGTGATCTTAAAACTTCATACAAATAAGTAAAACACCAAATAGAATGAAAGTTGACTCTTTTTACGTGAACTATCTCACTTTATTTTATTATACTAAATTAGTGCTCCAATAAAACGTAATAAACAAGGGAAATCGATTTTACAGGTGACTAAATGGCAAAACCAAACAGGCACAAAATACTATGGAATGTAGCCTGTCCATGGATAGAGATGTCTCTGGTCAAGTCAACAACTTTGTCTTTGTAACCAAAGAGTATATAAAATGTTTGTAACTTTGTATTTGTCGGTAAAACAGTTCAAAACTGTTCAGTCAATAATTTGATGAATTTGATCTAATTTGGTTTTTGCGACCTTATTATCAAGTCTTTCAGTGCAATATTCAATATATATTCGCTTATTTCCTTATTTTTAGCGATTACTTTACCAGTATCGTAACTATTTATATATTTTATTTAAATAACTGCGAAGTGCCGCCTTCGCTGAATTGGAGGGGCTGTTTTGCGATGAGTAATCCCGTTTCTTGTGTCGAGTGACGTCGTGCAGCGGTAGCCGGCGCGCAGCTATCAGACGTTAGTACGTCACGAGGAGGAGGCACGACAAGACCCCTCCGGCACACCCTATTCGCGATCCTACCGCACCCTTTATCGATTGTCGTCTCTGGTCTCGACCACGACTTAATTTATTTTCAAAATTCAAAATGGAAACTACAGATCTCCTCGGAGATTTTGCCAGCGGCGACGCCGTTCCGGCGAGCGAGGCGCCTCCGTCTCAGACTCTTAAACGCGACCAGGACTCCACTGACGACTTTGAGCATCTAGAGCGCGAGGGTAAGAAAGATGAATTTGGCGAATCGCCGAGTCACCAGCACGGAACCGCGCGAGCTGCGACTCAGAACTTCCTCGAAATGGAGCGCGACGAGTTTGTGGACACGCCGCGCGCTCCGTCTGTCACAGACAAACTGGCAGACCACATAGCCGACAAGTTTACAGACAGCGAATCGGAGGCCGACACAGCAGGCGAGTCTCCGCTCCACCGCCCCAAACCGCCGGTGCATGTGGACACTGCGCCCGCTGCCGAAGTTACCAAGCAGGAGCCTCGTGCGCAACCCGATCCAGCGCCTTTACAGGCTGCGGAGCCGGCTACCACTGCCGCTCCGCCGCCGACTCCAGCGCCTTTCGTACATTCCTTGCCGCCGGAGTTATCAGAAACTGGCATTGAGGCTAGAGTTGAACCTGCGACACCAGCTGCTGAAGCCCCGCACAAGGCCCCGTCACAGCCCGCCGCGCCTGCAACCGCAGCGCCTGCAACCGAATCGAAGCCTGAGTCCGTGCGAGCGCCAACTGCACACGTCATCGAGGCCGAGGTCATCTTCTGCCAGATGGGATTGGGTAAGCGTTTTACTGGTGACTATTTCTCAAATTTTATGCTATAGTATTGAGTCGATACATGTATATTACGTTTATGATATTTTAGGTAATTAAAAATCCGTCATTTAACAAATATTGCGAAAATTTGCCTAAGTAACGGTGCTCCTCTGCTGTCCACGCACCTTCACAAAAACCTCCCGTCATCTTAATCATTCTCTTTGAAGAAAATGAGATAGCAATAGTGTCTTTTTGTACATGTGTGTCGTTAGTGAAAAGCCATGGTTAGAGCGGCCCTACACGGATTGTATTGCACAGCATTGCAGGGTCCACGTTGTGCACCCTTCAATAGGAAAAATATAAAGTTGAGTTAAGGAGCGCAGCACACTTTGCAGTCGCTGCTAAAACGCATTCGGCCCAAACCGAGCATTGAATCTTTCCTACTCCCCTTCGGATGTTCTTTTAGGGAACGTGACTCACAAATATATAAAATATAATACCAAAAAATATACAGAAAAAAAACATCAATTAATACTTTAGTAGATCGGCATAGTCGTGCGTTTGCATTTGCCACGGCTGTACCGCGGCGCGGTGGCGCGGTGGCGCGGGGGCGGGGCACAGACGGGGCTGCAAAGGTGGCGGAGCGGCAAGAGCGATGACCGGCGCGGCGCGGTATCAACACAAAGACCTTGCTATCGCTGCACCGGCCTACGTTTTGCTTAAATTTTGTCTTTCTGACAGCTTATTTCCACTAAGTAAATTTTACTGAAGGAAAAAAACATGCCTTGTTGGATCGATACAAAGACAATAATTCAGTTTCAGAAGATGTAAATGTTTCAACAAGTTGATACTATCAACTATCATTTGTTTCTGTTATCTCGGCGCACGGGCCGTCAGTCGGGAGGCGATGTTATCAACTTGTAGATGCGTCAGCTTTCCCCTTTTATCGCCGTTTGTTCATGGATCATGACGTCAGATGCAGCGTTAAAAATTCTTGCAGTACTTTGATTATCAACGCAGTACACGAATAGTTAGTTCGGGTCGGTTCGTCTTATTGTAAATGTACGAGTTCGTTAGAAAAAAGCGAAATGCGCGGGGCGGCGGCTAATTTTAGCGTATGGTGGCGCGCGGCAGGCGGCGCGGCGCATCTCACTCTAGTGCCGGCACGACTGGCGCGAGCTGACGCTGCGCCGCGCTCCGCCCGCCTAGTGTGTCCCGTCGCGCCGCCAGCTCCGGCCGAGGCGGTAGTTACCTACCGCCGCGCGTGACCATACAACCCCCGGGAAACCCGACGCGGTCACAAGTGAGTATCATACCATACCAGATCCCAGTACTCATCCGCCATTCTCTGTTCGGTGTGTGGCAGGAAGGAGGAACAACACCCGGCCGCAATGAGCTATGACCTCATAATCCTATTAATAATGCGCCATTTGTCTATTGACGTAATGTTTGGTGCCTATCCGTGAATGACGTGATCGCATCTGCATTCTGCATATTTCAAAAAGTTTTAAAAGTACATCGGCAGCGCTCTGCGTCTACTCATTTTCCTTGGACCCCGCAGCCCGCCGCCACCATTGTTGTTATGTTTACTGCGGCAAAAAGATTTATTATATGTAATAAACATGATATTTACTCAAATCTCACTGTCGCCTGTTTCAACAGCATCTTCTCCCTGCACTTATCCTACTCAATTTTAAAAGCCAGAACTATTTGTCAATGTAAAGTAATATGAAATAAGCTAGATATCAAAACAATTTGAAATTAGTCAATAAGTAGTAAATAAGTGCTGTGTGCTGATTTGATGACGACCGGTCAGCTCGGCTGCTCCACAATTTCACTATCTTCCAAGTTTATCAACTTGTCGACTAGATTGTTATCGCTCGTCAAATTCTTTACCTTTTCATTAAAACTTCTGATAATCAAAATGAAAGGCATCTGAGATGTGTTTCTTATTATTTTTGCTGAAAACGTTTGCAATATAATTTAATTTGCGCGTATAATTGCCATACAATGTTAAATTATGTACTATTATTGTAAGATCCACTAACATAATATATTTTTATCTCTGTCTGTTTAAAGAGACTGAGAGAGATGAAGATATGCTTTGGTACAGGACTTTGTACAGAAAAAACTAATCCTATAACTATTTAGTGTTACAACAAATATTGGTTTTTTTGAATGAAAATAGGAAAAGGATTAATTATATATTATTATAAATCAAAAAATGAATGCAATAATAACAAGTTTATCTAAGTTCATAGTGAAACAAAAGCAATGACTATTTAATTTACAAAATCGATGAATACATTTAGGTAACAGTCCGGTTAATTTTGACAAACAAAAATTCATATATACAGAGAAACCTGAAAAGGCGCCATCGATATTTTGTGACCTTTGACTTTGAAGAACTTTCCCAAGGACGGGATCCATGGAGACATTTCAGATTTCACGTAAATGTGATGTTGGTTCTAACACTCTTACTATTTAAGCACTTTTGCGAATGATTGTAGTATCACTACCATTATTTTGTCTAAATGGAGCCAACTGTGTGTATCACAATGATATGGACAATATTTACAGCCTCGGAAAATGTTATATTATGGAACGCGGTGTGACCTTGAATGGTCTACAGAGTATTATGTGGACGACGCGACAGGCAGACCTGCTCTGTGCAGTGTAACGCACGCGTCGGCATCGATCGACCCGACTCCCGCTTCGATTTCGGATCTATTCAGACAAGGGAGGTGCGGGGATGGCATCGATCATGGCGACCGCCCCCGCCCCCGCCCCCCGCCGGCGCCGCGAGACAGCCGTCTGCTGGAATTGTCAAATGTAAGACAGCACCTTGTATGGTAGTACAAGTTGCTCGCACGCGCAACCGGCCGGAGAAAGTTCTTTATGAACTCAATTATTCCATTAAAGCTTTAAACGTTTTATTGAATTTTTGGATGTAAATAAATTGTTTTTAATATTTTTCATCATTATATCCTTCTTCTGTATAGAGATCAGTTAACTGTTTGTCTGAAGAATGCATAGCAAAATCTTCTCGGTTTAGAGAGTTTTGTATAGAGGTGTACCTACGGAGGATATTTTTCCAGGTGAAAGTTTGTGTGAAGAAACATTATTTATAATCGCAGGCGATATCCACTCATTGTAGAAAACATGAGGGATTTGATCAAGAGATATAAAAGTATAAAAACTTTGCTGTATTGCTTGGTAAATGAACATGTGCCTTGATATTACCTATACATGGCACGCAATGGATAATATGTTCTCGATATTATATCAATATCTGTTCACAAAGGTTTAGGATTCAGGACTGCAGATGGGGACAAACAACAATTCACAAAGTGCAGCGGCGGCGTGACGTCACGTGCCGTGCCGTAACGTACCGGGAGCCTAGCAATGTACTGCCTTCCCATTATAAGGCGAGGGAGCGAGGCTGACTCATGGGGAACCCCGCCGCTCCGCAGCCCCACCGCCCCACCGCCCTGCCGCCCCTCAACCCGACGACATTCGATGATTTAGCTAGTTGTGATCTTGGTTGCATTGCCTTTGAAACCATTATCTAAAGCTAGTTGTTGCTGAAAAAAAATACAGTTCAGACAAAATTGAGACCTTCTTTTATGTTTTTAAGTAGTTAAAAAGTCTGTTCGCGTGACGTCGCCGTTCTCCGCTCACCGTGGCCCGCGCTATTTCCGTCTGTCGTCGCGTCGCCGCACCGCTACCCGCTCTCCACCGCACTTCGCCGCGCCGCTGCCCGCCAGCTGCACACAAAGTGCTCGCTCTTCATAGTTTGCTGATGGTGACTTCAGTATTGTATATCGATGGCTTCTACAAATAAGGGTCAATATACACACTGACAACTTTTCAGGAGAGGTTCTCAATGTTTCCCATTTCTTATATTTCTTAGATGCTTAAAGGGATGTCTTTGAAACTTTGCATTATTACTGATATGAGAGACTAGCTGTGCCCGCGACTTCGTTCGCGTGGTACTGGACAGTATTGGACATTGCAACGTTACTTTATTTTTCTAAAATAAACTTAGCCTAAGTTATTCCTTATTACATCAGCTACCTGCCAATAATAGTCACGTTAAAATCGCTCCAGCCATTTCAGACATTAGCCGGAACAAACAGACAGACAGACAAAAATTGTAAAAAAAAATATATTTTGGTGTATATATATTCATAAACAAGTAGTAAAAAACGGTTATTACAATATTACAGACAAACCAATTTTATTTATATGTACAGATATGTTCGTTACTCCAGCTACTTTTTATTACTAATTTTATTTTATTTAGTCTTTTAATTATAGCATGTCTTTTTTTATTGATTATTACCTAGACAATTAGATGGCTTGGGTTAAATCGGATATGAAGCTTTTCGATTTGTCGACAGTTGTTATGTAATATGAATTCGATACTCCTTCAAGAGACAGTCTAAAGAAGTTCTTAAGGCATTAACTTGTTTGGAACAATAACATACAAAGGTATCGTTTTTTTTTAGAGCCGCAGCGAACTCGTATAAATATCGTATTTTTTTGTAACTAGTGCATTCCTTTGGAAGTAATAAAGGCGACAGTTTGTCCGATCAAGAAGAGCTTTCATTTACCGTTTTGTTTACTACAGTTTTTGGTTATTAAAGATACGGATACAAACAGTTTTGTTTTTAGCGCGATCGTGTTAGTCGGTGATAACAATGTCATCGTTCTAGTTCCAGATGTGAATAGATTTATCTAATTTGAAGATTGTCGATCACTATCAGGCGCTTAGCGGTTCAATCATCTTTCCATGGATGTTTGATTAATTCTACAGGAGTCAAGAAGATATACGATTACCGAAAAAATATTAATTTATAACTGTCACTTATGGAGTTTTGCCTTTCGTTCGGGTTTAACTCATTCAAACAACGTGTGGATTTAGTTGTGAGCACTCGGCCAGCGCTCGGGACTGAAGCGAGCGATCGGGCGCGGTTAAAATGTTAAATAAACACAACAGTAGTACATGTCACTGGTCATAAAGCTATGACGTGATTCTGACACGTTTGTGGAGTGGCAAGGCCACGAGCCCGCCGCCGCGGTGACTCACCAGCAGGCTGCTGAGCGCTCGCTGCCTCCCGCCCACCACCTGCCTGCGAGAGCGATGCGAGCCTTCGCCGGCAAGTGGCGGCGCCCGGCTGACTCATGCGTCAGCGTCACGCCGCAGCATTACATAAAGCCTATCATACAATGTGCGCGTCGCGTCTCCTGCGCCGCACCCACTACAAAATCATGAATGCATCATAACCGTAAGTTATATTGTCGAGGGATGTGATCTCATTTCGGTGTCGGGCACAATTAAAGCTTTCCTATAGTGTATTATTTTTTTTTACTGAATGACTAGTACTAATCCTACATATATAACCGCTTAGAATGCCGCCCGCACTCTGGTTCAATCTGCCACGAGGGTGGAGGAGGGGAGGTCGTGGGAGGGGGCCGGAGGGCCGGGGAGCACAACGCATGCGCGTTGCGGTGGCGGGGGGCGGAGCGCGGGGCTGCGTCTAGGCCCAGTATCGACGCGACAGTCGGGCGCGGTGCTCGCACGTTAGCCGCTTTGGGTCGTGTATCATTACGTAAAGTGTCACAATGCCGGATTCCGAGCCCTCTCTATGCAGCGTCCTCGACCCTCGTGAGTGTCTTATCAACAACGCTCAGCCGCTTCGCTTCATATCGCGACTAACCAGCTAACCCGCAGCCTTCTATTGCAGATGCTTGGTTCGACCCGCAAAGACTACACCCAGAAGGTGAGTGGTGGTGGTGGTGATGGTGGTGGCGGGAGGGGACGCACGCGCCCTGCGCCTGTCTCCGCCCTCGCGACGGCCTTGACTGACTCTTCGCCGCTTCTTGTACCACTAACCCGGCTTGTTCGTTTGCGTACGTCCGCCGCACGATCCGCGATCGCGCAATAACGCAATCGTAAGTTGTAACACTTGTATGTGGAGCAGCGGCGGCTGCCGCAGGACGTCGTCGACGAATGGCGCGCTCATATTGGAAGGTATGAAAACAAAATGTAGCTAGTAATCCACTGACTTTTGGCGGCTCCCCCATCCTGGAAGCTTATCTCGGTGGCACCTGTCGACAAGGACGGTCTGTGGCCGCAGCACGGACACGGCGGGTGGCGGCGCGCCTGGCGCGGCATGCGCGCGGTCAGCGGCGCTGCCAGGCTGGATTTAGATCGAGGCGCGAACGCACCACCGTGGCGACCGCACACTGATCGTACCGCCACCCGGCTGCCGCTGCCGCGTCACCTTGTCACTGCATCTCACCGATATTCTTATAATGATTTGTATATATTTTTGTTTAGTTATAAGCGTATCAATGTAGCTTTAAAGTTCCGACGACACGCGCCATGATTTTGGCATCTAGATATCAACATGCTGGGGTTTTTCTTTTGAAGACGCCTTTTCGGCGCATAGATACTTCGATTAGTATACAAATTAACATCGTGTCCTTGCTCGCTATTAGATCCTCGGTCGAGTGCGGCCGCGGTGCGCTCATGACGGACTACTAATTGCCCCGGAAGGTTGGCGCGCTTTGTTTTGCCGCCTTACAAGTAATCGGAGCCGGTGCTTTTCTCTTCGCGGCCCACCGGCCGGCGGCATTGTGTCACGTTACGTCACGTTACTCGGCTGTACACGAGTAACGACGCGGCTATAGCCGTTGTCCGCCACGACCCTGGGCGAGGCAACGGGAATTAACAGTGTCGTGTTCTTCTTCCTCTGGTCCCCCAGAGATTCCAGTACGAGTTGACATCTAGTTCTGGCAGTGGAAAATACTTTAGATGGCGTTATCTGTCTTATCGCGTTTATCCGTCGTTGATTCCCTACATACATAATGACACAATGTAATTACATGGAACATATCTATTCATGATTATGTCATTGCTTTACAAGATTGTGCAATACAATGCTTGAAATTAACTTGAGAGAAGTCATTGTCGCATGTCGGAGATAATCAGTGGCAAGCACACATTTGCGCTCGTGGTACCTGGTACTGACTAGGGAGGTACTGCGTCCCCACAGTGTCATTGGAGCCGGACTTGCCGACACAAGACATTATTTATTATTTCAATGCTGCACTAATAGTTCGTCTCTGTTTGGATATCTTACTGTAATAGTGCCAACTAAGGTAAATTGTCAATCGTAAGATTTACCTTTAAAACCTAGATTGAATTTTAAAAAAAATATGGTAAATGTCCGAACAGATATGTTTATTTGTATTTCAAGCGTTTGCCAAAATTTTTTGATAACTTTGTACAAAGCTCTTACAGCGTTCACCGGTAAATCTCAACACTTACCGGGGTTCGTACATTGACACTAACATATACATAACAACAACAGCATAACGTGAAATCGACAAAATAACGAAATTGAATCATCGTGACTCGTAATTTTTTAAAATTATCTTTAAGATAACGACATTTTTCTTTTAAAGGCAAAAATACACCTAGAAAATGGATGATTAATTTTCTCTGAAAGGTCGATGCTTGGAGTCTATATTAAAAAACAAGGGGTTCATTGAGAATGGGCAATATGAGGGTAAGACGTAAATTCACAAACGATTTACTTAAGTAATAAACAGGTTTTTAAGTCGGTCAGTTATTAAGCGCGCGGCAGCGGCGGCGACAGTGACGGGGTAGTATTACGTCGCAGTAGCACATCGCCCTTCTCTACGCTACGGTTGCCTACACAGTGTCCATTGCCCTGTCCCTCGAGGCCTTGATATAGACTTGATTCAGTGTCAGTGGCAATATGTAATGTTATAGACAGATTGAAGGCGGAAAATGCACGGAGTGCGTATTGGGCGGAAGGCGTGCACGACATGGCACATGCCCGCTGAGTGCCCACAGGAATAGAGTCCGCAATCTGCACCCAACTGTCGGAATGTCGCCAGTCTGGCCTGACTTATGAGTCAGGCGGCCACTGCGCTTCTCCATTTGGAAATTCTTTTATATAAAAGTAAGAAACTAAACATTCTATCACCACGTAACTTGGCTTAGCCTACTCGAGCGAGGCCAGGGATAGCAGTAACTAGTAAGTTCATTGTGAACGGTATTACAGGCTACCGGCGCTCTGTCTCCTTAAGCTATGTATTATAGCAACTAGGTAAATAATAATCAAAGTTGAATAAAATTGAAAATCTTGAAAAAATTATTGACAGCAATGAATTAACTTAATCGCAGCACGGCATACGCAGGTAGCAAATGACGCGATGTAAAGCGACGTATAGTCGAATTCTATCGAAAAGACAACATTGAAACAACCCCGTTTAAACTATTTTACCTATATATAACTGAAGTCACAGACTTTTTAAAAAAATACATGTTTGTATCAACAATTTAAACACTAACACTCCTGTTAGAAAGAAAATCCGACACTGTGCCGGTGTATCGGCGCAACACTTGCCTCACTAATCAACGTGACACTTGACTTGGTAGCGAAAGCGCGCCATTAGCTCAAAAGGATTCTAAGAACGTTTTTGTGTGAGTCTGCAACCGTTTTTCGAACGCTTAATAAATATGCAAAAAAAAGATTTTTAGTGCATAATGAGGAAGTTCCAGTTTTTGTCATAGTATTGTAGCATTTTAGAATTTTGATTAGTTTTTTTAGTATTTTCCCCATGTACATATCGACCTGGCTATACACCAGTTCCCTCTTTATCGTTCAATTTTGGGACACTCTGTATAGCGTGTATTTTAGATTGATTAGTTTGACAATACACTAGAGATGGGTTAAGTAAAATTTGTTATAAATATTTTTCTCATAGAACTTGCAATTATAATATAAATATCATGATAATCGTTTTGAAGTTACAATATAAATAATTATTTTCTTTCTATATTCTTCAAAATTTGAGGTTTTGCATATATTATCAGTCAGCTAGTGAAATGTGTCAATATAATTTCTTTGAAAGTCGGTGGTTGGCACTTGCGCCGTCGAGGGCTCGGTCGGCAACGAGGTCGCCGCGGGGCTCGGAGCGGCGGGGGCAGGCAGTGGGGTAGGTCGGCGCGCGCTCCAGCCTCTGCTCTCTAATCTATGTACATATAATAATATACATAATGTTCATGGTGTTTCTTTCAAAATCGATATAAAAACCGAATTTTTACAGTAACAGAGCCTTAGGAAACAGGAAAGCTGATTTAATTCGCAGATTTCACACTTTGACGTTACTTATTTTATCCCTGTCTATAGCTAGTAGAGTCAAAAATCTTTCAACTATCACGAATTCGTTGACTGATCTGAAAGGTCTCTATCAACATCAGTGGGGTTGCTAGACAGTAGCGGGCCGTAGGCCACGCGGGCGGCAGGAGGCTGGATTTGAGCTGAGTTATAGAGAAAGCGCTCTCTCTCTTCCACTACATAAAAAGTGATTAAAGTTGCACGCATTCATAGAAGTTGCTGCGAGTGCATCGTCTTCGAGGCAGAGTAAAATATCATTAAGAAAAGATAATACAATGTCAGCGTCGGCGCAGCCTACAGCTGACGAAAATAACGCCTGCCAGACTATTTTGGCAGAGGCGCATAAGTGACTAGTGATTAGTAAGCGGCGGCTCTCGAAGGCAGGCGCTCGAGTGCGCGCGCTCGCTTCTTCAATTTTCCTTTGCGAAATTCAGTTTCAATCTGCGAAATTAATAATGTTCGAAGTTTAGATAAAAGTTTAGCTGTGACTTCGGGAAAAATTTTTGAATAAAATAAAAATTTTGGTGGCCTCGTTTTAGCTTTAAATTTTATTCCAAATGCGGCATCAATGGAGACTGCTCATATAATGAAGTTCCGAACATTCGTAGCAATTTTCAGAGCCATGGGAAATATTGTAGCTTTGCTACTATTACTTGCCTTAATTTGGCCGGACTAGTAAAAATTCCTGCGAGTTGTTGATTGACGTAAAAAAATACGATCTGTATGACTTGCTGAAAAGTGATGTTTTCCTGGGAGAAGTAATAGAGTCGAGAATCTGTCTTAACCCTTTCAATATGCATCTAGATCAAAACTAAACTCTTGTTGTTGTCACAATAACGTGTTCATAATTGGGACAAAAATATTGAGTGACTGATAACGTTAGCTAGGTAGATGTCTACTTCGATGTGTCTTTAATTGTGAATTGCGATAACCTTGACTACCGCTGACGTAGGGATGCCGCCTCTCCGGTTTGCGCAGTACATGTCCGGGCAACGGGTGTCGCATCAATGTCTTCCGCTCAGACAAGGTGATGTTTAGGTTAGTTAGTAACTCGTTTTTGTTTTGCTTTGACGCTCTCTTAGCATCGAAGATGGACGTTGGTTGTTTTATTAGGAATCAAGTTTTGTCAAGTCCCTGGTGATCGCATCTAGATTTATTGAAAGTTGGCAGCCCTACGCTGACGTTAGCCTATTGACATGACGCTGGGTTCCACGTAGAGTGGCACGCGGCCAGTCCGAGCGAAAGCCGGCCGCGTGGCCACAGCGCGCGCGGGGCCTGCGAGCCGGGGCGGGGATCGGCGACGGCGCTCCGCCGCTCACTCCGCTGCTATGGCGCGCCCTAAGCAGTCGCCGCGTCACGCCGCGCAATACACCGATTTGCCTCCTCGCGGACCAGGTACACGAACAAGTTTCACTAAAACGTAGCTTTTTACTCTTCACTATTATAGCAACTGGAGTTGGTTGACTCTTATTTGTACAAATTTGTGTCAATTTAAAAAAGTGTAGCTTTAGCGCAACGTTAATGATTGACAGTTGTTGACGTGTTATCAAGTGAGAGTGCAGAGCCCGTTGACTGAGGGCAAGTGGAGACGGACGGTGCAAGACCAGCTGGCGCACGCTGAGTGACGCGACGTCAGGAGCCATCTCGTGTGCTCTCTCATTCTCTCACTGTGTGGAAATTGTATCTGTCGCGTGTGATACACGATACCGAAGATTTGACGCCAGTTTCTTTTGATCACATCTATTTTAACGGAAAATTGTTTAATGCGTAACAACAGCCAGCTCGCTGTTGTCACAACTTACCCAATCTTGGAAACAGGTTAAAATTAACGGAACACGTATTGGATTCGAACTGCACGCCCCACACGTGTTTTTTATAGACGACGTCATCGAAATACGCTGTAAGCTCGAATTCTTTGATAAATTATTGATTTCGAATTAAAGTTTAAAAACTGCAAATTATTAACAAAGTAATTACCGATCAGTTTTGCATGTAGTTCGGCTAATTGGCGTTGTTATAAAATGCAAACACAGCACAAAATCACGTCGCGTTGGCGGATATCTTATTTAGTTTTTCTGAACACTTTGTCTGCTGATAAGTGCGTGGGGCGAGGGGGTGGGAAGTCCCACAACCTGCCAGAGATTAAAAACAAGCTACAGTTATTTTGCGCGCCGGCTGTCGTGAGCCGAAGCGCCACTCCGCGCCCTGCCCGCACCCTACCCGCGTACCTCGACGTTGTTATCGCCTGCCGTGTGTCAATTCTGTTCGCATCCTTTGTACCTATTGCCATCCCATATGCAACCACATATCCTGTGAACAAATGACCGCAGGGGCTGCGGAACTTCTGCCATGTTTGGCGCGTGTTTCTTCTGACAGTCTCGTCTATAATATATGGAGACATCGAACTGTACCTTGACTATAAGTTGTAAGGAGTAGTGTAAAGTGGTGCTGCAAGCATTTGTGCGGAAGAGTTAATCGGTATGTCACGTGTTCGCAGTGGAGGCACTAATCTACTGGCGGTGCGCGGCGCGTTCGGGAGCCGCGCTGGGCGGCGGACTGGCGCTGCTGGTGGCGCTGGCCAGCTGCTCCGTGGTGTCTGTGCTGGCGTACGCCGCGCTACTGGCGCTCGCCGCCGCCCTCGCCCTGCGCATCTACCGCAACGTGCTGCAGGCCGTGCAGAAAACTAACGACGGTCATCCCTTCAAGTGAGTTCCGCCCATCTGTGCCATACCATGCATAGGAGAGAGCCGATCCGGAGTGCATGTTTTAAAAATATATAAATTTTATATTAAAGTTTACCAATAGGGATCCCGGTATCTGCCAAAATTGAATACTAACTTAAGCGCAGAAAGACACGATGGTTACAAGTTCTCTTTCGGTCATTGGGCTGGAATTTTTTGAGTATAATGTGGCAAGCAAACCACCTAAATTCGCCAAAATAGTGAAATGACCGCTGCCCATATACAACCGCATTTGCACACACGTTGCCTACTTGCAATCAAAAAAATTGTGTTATTATTCGTTATATTATTGACAACTGTTACCGAAACGCGAACTGGGGGCATTAGAATGTGTGAGGTGTAGGATGTCGCCGCCCGCCACCGCCCGCCACAGCCCGCAAGCCGCGCAGGTCGTCGAACCGTCACCATGAGTCCCCTCCCCGCCCCGCACCCCGACCATCTGCTAGTGAAGCCTTCGCTACATACTCCATAAAATTAAATGAGTTTCGGACGTAGGCTAAAGTTATTATTAATTATTTAAAGCATAAAATAATTGAGTACTACTTGTTATATTATGTTTCAAAAGAATTAAACAATTCGATTATGCTAGGCTAAGGAAAACTAAATGTAAGCTAATAAATGGTATCATTAGTGCAAGTTATGTAATGCACTGTGTGTGCGCATCGGTTGCAGGTGGCTGCTGGAGAAGGACATCAGCCTGCCGGCGGAGAGAGCACAGGCGCTGGCCGCCGCCGGCACCGCGCACCTCAACGCCGCTGCGCACGAGCTGCGCAGGTACCACCTCCCCCACCTCCCACACCTCCCCCACCTCCCACACCTCCCCCACAACATGGACGAGTCTATTGTTACAATTATTATCGGGCTGTACAATTTCTGCTAAGTTTGTTTTGTATCACTGAACCGAGTTAGTGACTGCGCGTTGCAGGCTGTTCCTGGTTGAGGACCTGGTGGACTCGCTGAAGTTCGGGGTGCTGCTGTGGTGCCTCACCTACGTCGGCGCCTGCTTCAACGGCATCACGCTCATCATACTAGGTCAGCGCTCGCCTGCTTCTTCTTCACCTCGCTCTGTGACTAGGCACAGCGCCCGTAACGCTGTAGATGTCGTGTTGCAGGTTGGATAGCGCTCTTCACGCTGCCGAAGGCGTACGAGATGAACAAGGCGCAGGTGGACGCCAACCTGGAGCTGGCGCGCGCCAAGATCAACGAGATCTCTGCCAAGTGAGTCTCTCCTCTCCCCTCTCCCCACCCCCCACCACCATTATATAATTAGTTAAGGGATCGTCACAGAGTAGTGCCGCCATGAGTCTCGGCAGACACTGTGCATCAATAAAAACCATACCTTTCGCAAACGATAGATGTCATACACATTGGCGGCGACAGTCATGGTGGTGGGGCGAGGTCGACCATGACCCGACGACCCCCCACTGCGGGTTCACTTCGCACATATCTGTGCACACATCAATTGAAAATTGAAAAACACGTCGTTACAAGTCGGGATTCGAACCCAGGATCTGCAGAACTGAATGAACCAGTTAACGAATGAGAATGTCGAGAACAACATATAATTCATTGAGACGTGTGTGGCTTGTGGTGTGTGCAGAGTGCGCGCGGCCGTGCCACTGGGCAGGAAGGCGGACGCGGACAAGGACAAGTAAGGAGGGCGCGGCGTGCAGCGAGCGGCGAGCGGCGAGCGGCGCGGAGCTGGCTGAGCAGGCCGCCGGCGCGGTGGGCACGCGCCCGCGGCGCTGGGCTACTTTCCCTGTTTGTTATATTTATTATGTACTATTAAAGATACCTTACGTGTAAAGCTTTATGAGATGAGTCATGCGGAGATTATTGTATTTGCTTTTTGAAATTTTAAATTAAAATAATTATCGAACCGATTATAAGTGTTTTCTTTGGATTCCACAGATATAAATGTACCGTTAGCGTACCGCGTCTAACTGGAACTGCAAGGACTTACTTTTTGCAATTTAATTCATTATTATAATGCACAAAGGGAAGGGAACAATCGTGTTGTGCACATGTTGGTAACTAGGTGACATGCATTTACACATGTGACTAACTGAACGCACGGATACTTTGTGACATGGCAAAATAGTGATATCATATAACAGTTCATTTTCCACCACTAGACATGATGATATTTGCGCTGCGGCCGGCGCTCGCCAGCGGCAATACTCTCGACAAGTCACAGATATGATAAGTGATGTCTTACGATAGATATGGATAGCTTGTTGAAATTTGATGAAGGTAAATTGTGAAGAATCTTGAAAGTGATTGAGTCGAATGATGTTGCAACTGATGCTATTGTTGCTGGCATCTATCTACTGTTGTTACTCGACCGATGTAATGTGTACGTAAAAATTACACTTTACATTTGTTCGTGTGAATTAGAATGTGCGGGCAGCGACACATCCATATTGAACAAAAAAATAAACGGTAACTTAATGCTTACTATTTGAACTGAAATATACACATTCAACATTAATATAATACTAAGTAATATAATCGTACGCTACATTTGCGTCATTACGTACTGATTTATAAAATTAAAACTGTTATCTATATATTTAGACATATATTAATAAAATTGGTGGGTGGAAAAAATTATTTTGAAAATGTTTGTCTATCGGTCCGCGAGGCCGCGTTTATTCCGGCTAAGCTCCGGAACGGCTGGACTGATTTTGATGGGAAGGTATCTGCTACTTGTTTATTTCTGCACTGACGAAGTCTACGTTCCCTACACGATATCTGACCCGGTGGACCGGTGGGCTGAAGTCAAGCTAAATTAGATGGCTCACTAGCTCCTTTCGATTAAAAAAGTGTCACGGAGTCTTTTTATACTGTGGATGTCTCGTCATGCTATTCTTTATTTATTGTTATTTATTTAAAAAAAAATCCAAGTAGGTTTTACATACTATAAAAAACCTAACCGGCGGGCCTTGCTTGAAAATATTTCTTTTTAAAATTGTAAGATTTTCCAAAGTAATAGAATTGGCAACATTTACTCGTCCAGCTGACATTCCCTTATTGGTTAAAACAAGACATTGTCAAGATGACATTGTTCGACCATCTGTCACTTCACTGACTGTGTCAATGTCAGCTGTCAGGATGACATTGTATCACATTCACATCACGATCACGTCACAAACTGACATTGTTCATTGGTCACACATGTGATGGTGAGTTTAGTTAATTTCCTTACGTGTCAGATGAAAGTTTAATTATGTAATTTATTTAAACAAAAAAACAACAATAAGTTTGTTAGTTATACGTTTAGCGATATGATGATTTAATAGATAGTTCTTTAGATAGATATACTTGTTTGTGATACAGTGAACAAAGTTCATCACATACTTGAGTTTTGAAATAAATTAGTACAAAAAGCCTCCAAGCTTGTAAGACTGGTATGGAATTTGCATTGTTTCAAATATATATATACTATTTTGGTGCATTTAAATATTTTTAATCAACTTTTTCCAGTGCTTTAAAGGTTGATTTAAAAGCGATACCAAACTTTTATTTATTTCGTCATCTTGTTTTCATTTCCAGTTCCCGATATGGTTGAAATGGCAAGGTCAGTTATATTTTGAAAAAATAAATTATGAAATAAATCTCCACAAGGACAGTGTTACACTTGTGTTCTAATATTAAATGTTGCACTTAAATGGAAATCACAGGCACGCATCTAAATCCCCCACTAGTAATAGCCGACTGGTGCACAGGCTGCTTCTTTCTTTGGCTTGTACATATTTTTCGTTTATTTAAAAAAGCACTTTGTAACCTGCTCTATATATAGTACATCTATTTATATAGAATGTCAGCACAATATCAAACTCTCGGGGTGTACAGTGTTGTAATTTTTTCAGATCGCTCAATTGACTGCCAGTTATTGTGGAGTCTAAGCACCATAAATCTCTAGGTAGTTATTTGTTTAAAATTTTACTTACCAATTTTTTATTCATATTAATTAGTCCAGCATTTGCTTAATTGTAAATTATGAAAACTATATAAAATGCTAAATTGTGATTGCTGTGACTAAAACACAATTTTGTTCTTGAATTGTAAGAGCCAAGGTGGTTTATAATGGATGAGTAATCCATCTCAAAATATCTGTAACAAACATAACATAAACATTGATAATGTTGTCCACATAAACATAAAGTAACACATTGTTTTATCATTGATATCCGAGTATGGAACTAAAAGAAAATTGCAATAACAACACCAGTCTCACCAAATAAATTTGTGGGAACCTATTCCTATAAATAAGCTTTGAAAACTGTCATTAACAGATATTCTCAAAAAGCTGAATGCGCATTAAATTTTCTTATTATAACATTCAAATTATTCTATATGTAAATATTTCTCAGAACACAAACATTTCCTCAAGTACTCCGAATGTCTTGGCAAAGATTTATTACAATCTGTTCAGGAATTTTATAAGCAAACATATGGACAAAATATTGATTTTAAATTTTTAAAGAACATTCCACAATTGTTTCAACACACAAGGAGAGTTAACCAAATAAATTATTATAATTTTTTTTTTGAATAACTTCAACATGTGCTATTCTTATATCAATATTCAAGTCTATTAACCTAAATACAATCCAGTTTGAAAGAAAATAAATGGAGATACCAAAAAAATATTACGCTAATTGTAATCAGTTAGTTGTGTGGTGACATACGCACACGCTCACACTGTGTGGACTGAGCCTATGCAAACAAGCGGGTTTATTATTTATTTGTAAATGGAACTGTGTCCTTAATGTTATAAAAATTAAACATAGAGTAAACAGTGGCCTTGATGTAAATAATATTTGCTACATATCTAAGTAGAGTGAAGAGATTACAATTGTTTACTTCAAATTGTATTAAACCTCTGACAAACAATGTTATCTGTCATGTTGTTGGCGGTGTCAGGTCTGGACAGGTGGCTAATGTTGCTGCGCCGTGTCCTCCACACTCACTGCGCATAACCGCTAGTGTACCTACACAATTACATTTCGAAGCCTACTTCATATCCATTTTCACGTCAATTACTATTTATTGCTGTCTGATTATATCCAAACGTAACATAGTAAGGTTTGATGGAAACTCGGCGTGGTAGTAGCGGTGGTGGGTGCGAGGAGGGAGCGGTGGCGGAGGCGCTCCGTCGTGCCGTCTGCCTGGCGGTCGACAGGTTGCACTCTCACTATCATTGCCTCACTAGCCTTAACGTGCTCTTTGTTTTAAACCACCTTCTACGGTATTTCTTGTACATGCTTTTTTCCAACCGATTAGTGGAACCATAATTTATAAATTCTGGACAGATCCGTGATTTTCTTTACCAGCGCATCTATAATGAAACAGGCGCAAAAAACAGGACACGGGTTTCCCTCACTGCAACTGACGCGAAGAGCTTCTAGAAAATGACGTAAAACAAACAGCTCGTATTTATAAGTTCATAAATCGATCGGTCCGCGGCCATCACACACGTCATAAGTTAAGAGTGACGGCCGCGGACCGATTATTGCATCAATTGAGCGTCTGTGTTCTCCACTTTACGTTCATTAACTAACACATTCTGTCGTTTAAAGCCGTGCGGGTTACAAATTCATTATATTTTCGCCCGGGTTTCAGGATAACTGAAGAGAAAGAGCGCGTTCCGTGTCTGGGCGAAGGCGAGGCCGGGGGCGACGGAATGGTGTCGCAGCAGCGGCGTTGCGTGGCGCTAGACGCGCTGCTTGCGTTCTGGGGTCTGGGCGCCTGGCTCGGCGTCAACGGGCTCTACGTGCAGCTGCCACTGCTCGTGCAGGCGTTGCCGGAGGGATGGTCGCTGCCCTCGGCCATGGCGCTCGCGGTGCAGCTAGCCAACGTGGGCCTGCTGGCGTACGCGGCGCTGCGCCGCCTGCTGCCGCGCGCGCCCGACGCTACCTACATATACGGCCTCCTTACCATCGGCACCCTCGCACTCCTTCTCAACTCGTTCCTGTACACCGCCACGACGCCCCTCGCCGGCGCCGACCGCTCCGTTGCCTTTCTTACGCTCACGTTTTTCGCGGCGCTGGTCGGTTGCACCAGCTCCGTCCTCTTCTACCCGTACCTGCGGCATTTCCGCGAGGTGTACCTCGCGACGTACCTAGCCGGCGAGGGGCTGAGCGGCTTCATCCCGAGCATTCTAGCGCTGGTGCAGGGCGTAGGCGGCGAGCCGGAGTGCGTGCCGAGCACTGACGCCGCCACGCTGATTCCCGTGCATCCTCCGGCGCGTTTTGACACCTCAGCCTTCCTGCTGATGCTCGCCGGGCTGTCGGCCCTGAGTCTCGTCAGCTTTGTGGGCCTGCACAACCTGAGGGCGTTCGACTCGGAGCGCGTACCGCAGGCGGCGGTCGCCAAGGAGGAGGAGGCGGAGGCGCCTCGGGGCTCACGGGCGCTGTGGGCCGCCGTGATGTCGCTCACGCTAGTGCTGAACGCGCTCTCGAACGGCGTGCTGCCCTCGGTGCAATCGTATTCGTGCATGCCGTACGGGGTGCGCGCGTACCATCTGGCGACGTCGCTGGCCGCGATGGCCAACCCGGCGGCGTGCCTGGCGGGCGTATGGCTGCGCCCGGCGAGCGCGCGACTGCTGGCCGCGGTGCTGGCGGTCGCCGCGGTGCCCCTGGCGTACCTGCTGGCCGCGGCGCTGCTCAGCCCCGCACCGCCGCTCCACCGCCATCCGGCGGGCGAGGTCTTAATCGTAAGTTTTATAATTTTTACTTTTACATAAGTGAAATATATGTATTTATCACCTGTCATTTGACGATGTCGATTATATTTTAAACCTAGCTTTTGTCCGCGACATCGTCTTCGCTATATTTAAAAAAAGGGTGAAATGTATCTCACATGTTACTCAACTCTGTTCTATATCTTTGCCAAATTTCATTAAGAACCATTGCGTTGTTAGCGACCGTACACATTACCTGGATCACAGATAGTCATATGTTAATTCAGACTACGTTCTACATTTATACAACATTTCCTCAAGATCCATGCAGCCGTTCTGAAGATAGCTTCTGACATCCATCGATCGAAACGTTCGCATTTATAATATTAGTAAGAAGTGAGATATGTAAGGAGGGGGAAGGAGGAAGGGAGCAAAGCAAAGTTGTATTGGGGTGCAGGTGGTGTCGTGGGTGTGGGCGGCGGCGAGCGTGTCGTACGCGCGGCTGTGGGTATGCGCGTGGGCGCGGCGCGGCGGGGCGCAGGGCATGCGGCTGTGCGGCGCCGCCACGCAGCTGGGCTCCGCGCTCGGCTCGCTGCTGCTCTTCGTGCTCGTCACCCGCACCGCGCTCTTCACGCAGCCCGCGCCCTGCCCCACCCCTTCTCTGCTCTCCAACAGGAGCTCGCTGCGAGCCGACCTCCTCTCTTATCCCAGTACTTAAAACTTTAATTAGTGCAATTTCGACGCTTTCTATAGGTTAGTGGTTGTTAGTGTTTTTTGTGTGGCTGCATTATTGTAAGAGTGGTGTGCAGAGCCGGGTGCGATGTGCTCATCTTTTAGAAAACATTGTATAGTCGTAGTTATTTGTAACAAAATATACAAGTGATATTTAAGTGAGGAATCGAGTGAGTGAGTGACTGAGCTGTGTACAGAACGTCAATAGCTGTGAATATTTACTTAATTTATTATAAAAAATCGCTGTTCTGTTTTGTGTAAATAAAATTTTAATAAAAAAGTTGACTATGTACTATAAAGCTTTAAATTAGATATTTATGTTTCTACTCGAAAATTTATTAAAAAAAAACCTGTACATTAGAGGTTTATATTGTGACGTAAGTTAGCGGTAGATCTGCTGTGATACTGTTTGTCCGGTCTGGTGAACATTGTGAGAACATGTCGCGCTGCAGCGACCGGCGCCTTTTCCTTGTCATCATGCGAGGAGGAAGCCGCTCTGATGTGCATCTTATAATGTTCGCTTTTGTGTACATTGTATTGTAACAATTTCATTGTATTCATATAAATAATGACTACTTAATTTAAATGTCAGCTGTCAGTAACTCAGCGGGAAATAACAATGAATGTCAATAAATATTCATGACAAAAACAACGTTTTTATTTATTTTCAAAGTCTTTATTATTTCGTTCATTTTAAATTATTTTATACAAATAAATATTAGCTTTCGCGGCTTCAGACTATTATTCCAGTCTATGTTCTGGAACAATAGTCTGAACTGTACTGCAGTTATGGAGTAATCACGTAAAGCAAAAACTCAACACTCAGTTCACATTTCCGCGATATAATCGCGTGTATGCATTTATGTTGAACAAAACTCTGCACTGACCATTTATACAACTATATCGAGATACCTAATGACAAACATCTAACAAGCCATCCATCCATCTATACTTTCACATTTATAGAATAAATATTAATAATAAAAAGCAGGATTTAAAAAACTAATTTTTATATGTAAATTAGTAACAAAAGCATAGATTAAAAAAGTGGCAAGTTATTTATCCCCTGTAGGTGTCCAGCTTCAGCCACGGACATAGTGATGTTGTTGTAACACTTTATAATAAGAAAAAGAAACTTAAAAGTTCTTATGTGTTTGATTTTATTGATAACGAAAGTGCAATTTGTCTAACGAATCGGTTTACCTCATGGTGCTCATGCATCGCCTGCTGACGCGCCAAGCGCGCTGGATACAAGAACGACCGATTGGTGTCGCCGTCACATTACTATACTTCAACAAGTATAGTTGGAGTGTATGCGTGTGGTGCATCTCCGTAGAGAGTGTGCGCGGGGGGGCAGGCCGCCGTCGGCGCCTGCGTGAAAAGTCGCGTGAAGTTGACCAGCAGGAACATTGTGAGCGTGCCGAGGATGGAGCCGAGCTGGCCGAACGCCCCGCAGGCGCGCATGGCTCGCGCGCCGCCGCGCCGCGCTCGCAGCGCCACCCACAGCCGCGCGTACGCCAGCGCCGCCGCGCCCGCCAGCCACGACGACACCTCCGCGCCACAAACAATTTTAATTTTTAAACACATTTATTGAAAACACTATTAATAAAAATCTGTTTTTACTATATTTGGCGTTACGCTTTCTCCTGAACAACTGGACAGATTTTAATGAAATAAGGTAGGGCATCCTTAGGGTGTTCAACCATCAAAATATTTTTTTGTCTAGTGTAAGGAAAGATTTCTCGTACAATTGATACGATTTTTTTATTATTTAAACTTTTAATTTTGCTTATGAACATGGCTGTGCAGTTACTATATGTTGTCACGTGCCGAATCCGCCAGGTAAGTGCCGTAAATAGGTGATAGAATAAAATTTGTCTAATAAGTAAAAAAAGGAGCAAGTAATTCGGCGAGCGTGCAGTAGGATATGTTACGAGTAGTTATAAGCAACTACGATACGTACGATAAGTGCCCGTCCGGCGACTTGGTCCTGCAGCGGCGGCGTGGGGCTAAGCAGCGCTGTCGCCAACATGTACGCCAACGGTCCCGTGGCGGCGGCCAAAATCGCTACCAGCGCGCGGACAGACAGCGGCGCTATCCACACCGCTGCCAGGCAGATTGCGGGGTCCGCGACCACCTTCAACGTCGCCGCCAGGTGGTACGTGGCCGCGCCGTACGGCATGCACGAGTAGGACTGGACCGCGTTCAGCACGCCGTTGTTGATGCAGTTAAGCGCCGCCGACGCTGCGAGCAGACACACCCAGGACTGTTCGAGTAGACACACCCGGGCCTCTTGCCGCTGCTCTTTACTCTCCGTTGGCAATTTTCGTTCTGAATCGAATTGGGACGTATTGTGGATATAGGTGAAACTCAGAAGACTCACTATCGATAAACCTCCTAAAATTGACAGGAACAAGTCGGTGTCGAAAAGCGGCAGGGGATGGACGGCGGTCCACATCGAGCCGTCGGGAGATGGGACGCACTCGGGTTCGCCTCCGACGCCTTGAATCAACGCCAGGATGCTCGGTAGAAGACCGCTCATACCTTCCCCCACCAGGTACGTGACTAGATACTCTTCACGGAAATATCTTAAATAGGGATAGAAGAGTACGGAACTGGTGCACCCGACAAGCGCAGAACAGAAGGTCAAAGCGAGGAAGGCAAGGGAGCGGTCCGCGCCGGCCAAAGACACGGTTTCGGGATGCAGGAAGGCGTTGAGAAAGAGCGCGGCGGCGCCTGTAGCCAGCAGGCAGTAGATGTGTGCGGCGTCTGATGTGCGCGGCAGTAGACGACGAGAGAGCGCGTGCGCGGCTATGCCGAGGTTGCCGAGCTGCACGGCCAGCGTGATCCAGGAGGGCAGCGCCCAGCCTTCGGGCTGCCGACGCAGCAGCAGCGGCGCCTGCAGGAACGTGCCGTTGACGCCCAGCCATGAGCCTAACCCGAACGCCGCCACCGCCAAGTCCAGCAAAATACATCGCTTCAGCTTTACCATTTCCTCTATGTTTTTGCAAGTTTCAATTTTTCAACGCACTGTAAGAATTTATCCACTTGCTCAGTGCACCACTTTACATTGTACGTCTCGACAAGACATATGTACTTGTGCAATTGTGACGGCAGGGGGAGGTGCGCGCACAAGTATGCATTGGTCGTGTCTCAGGTGGCCGCGGTGTTATACTGAAACTTATGAAGTTAGATTTGCTAATCGCATATTACACGTGATAACATGATTTTAATACATTTATATCAACACCCAAATAGCATGACGTCAACATTCAATTGGTCAGTTTAGCGATATACATCGGTATAAAGATAGAGTCCAGTCCCATTCTGACAGCGACAAACTAATGTGACTTGGTTAAAGTGACCTGCTATCGCGGTTTGGTCAGAAAGTACTTGATGTTATCATATAACATAACTTAGTGCTATAGGTTATGTCTTGGCGGCGGGTCTTAACTTCGCATGAGTCGCTGCGCAGAACACAGTTTCAGGTTTAGCAGGGCGTTGCGGGATGGGGGGAATCGATGGCGTTCCCTCCCCGAAGCCACATTTTTCGTTTTATTTTTTATGAAAGTATGCATCTACCTAATATTAATTATCGATGCACCGGAGCAAATATTATTATAAAAAGAGCACATTTTCACATTGTTTAAAGATCTTTATACTATGTACTTAGTCTTAAAGACTAAGACTAAATGCAAAGACAATATAATTTGTGTTCCCCTGCTTCCAAGATTTTTAATTTGTAAAGTCAATATGCAATACGTATGCTGATACTTTTATTTTAAATGTAGCCGCAATCAGTGCTCTTTAATGGCTGTCTGTAACCACTCGACAAACAACTATTATACATTTTCCCTCTTTTCAACCGTATTAGTGGTAGTTATAAAAAGGCATAGCTTATTAAATAGTTCTAAGGGAGCGCAGGCTAAGCGAGCTGATAGCTTTTAGATGGACACATTCTTTTGGTTGTCACCGAGAGCGATCTTCTAATCGGCAATGTTAAGAAGTTTAAAAACTTTTGGAACGGTTAAGTAATTTAGTTGTTATCAAGGTAAGAGCGTTGATTATCCGATAGCTATTAGACCTATATCAGCATCGAAAGCTGTCTTAACGACCATATGATGTGATAGCATGGACTTGCCGGCCTTCGTGTGCGCCTTCTTCGCAGCCAAGAACGTGCACTTGCTCACGGCCTTCCTGTGTTGGAGATCAGGTTTCTTTTTTAAATTCTGGATAAAGTATTTTTTAGTCAATAGATCTATTACAGGGAAAACGTTTATATTATAGTTGAGGTGGTGGGCGTGTGGCGTGAGTGCGCAGCACGCGGAGTACGGATGCGCGCGGCCGGGAGCTGCTGGCCCTTGCCGCTGCCCGCTGTCGGCGCACGCCGCGAGGGCGTGCTGCTGGATGTCCACTGCCCTCACGCTAAAGTACTACTCGACAAGGTAAGCAGGGAAATAGTCGAGAAAAATAAATTGAAAAAACTAAAATATCCATTATCCGTAAAAAAAATTGTCGTGCATTTTTCTTTAAGGCGTCGGTCGCGCACGCGTTCAATCACCGATACTCTTGGCTGTTACTGGACACGGCAGCGGCAGAGGCGAACGGGTCGGTGGATTACAAAGTTGAGGCACGGTCGCAAGCCATGTTGCGGTTCGCCGCCGTGCTGCCCGACGCGGATGTGGTGTGGGCAACACCGGCAGCGGCTATGGACGTGTACCGCGTGGCGGTGGGCTGGCCTCTAGTGAACACCGCACTGCCTTCGCCAAGTGCCGCGATGTGGGCGGCGTGGAGTGCGCTGCCCGCAGCTGCCGCGCGCCGTCGAGACCTCGCCGGTGTGCGCCTCAGCGCGGCCACCGTCGTTAGTTCTAGTCTAATTACCAACTCACTATGTTATATTATTTTAGACAGTTTTAAAAAGACGGCATGAAAATCAGTAATGCTTATTATTTAAAACAATCCATTAACGAGAATACTTTTCTTATAGCAAAAGGTGAAAATCGAGCGCGCAGCCACATGAAGAGTACATTTTGTTCATCTAATAAGGTCCTCTCCCATAGAGGTCAATTCTCCTTCGCATACATTGTAAAAGTAAAGTTATGTGTTACATAATGGCGGTACAATGGGGCGGGCGCGGCGCAGGTCAGCCGGCCGCAGCAATTCTCCGGCTGGGCGGACGTGAGCAGCCGCGCAGTCGACACCTTCCCCAAGCTCACATACCCCCTCATGATGCTGCTTGCTGAGGACTTGAACTTTCGGTGAGCGAATCCTACATATATAAAACCTCGTTGTTAAGTACTATAAGTCGTTATAAAATCGTCGGTTGTGATCTGTGGCGGCGCGCGGATCAGGTACGACCTGCGACAGGTGGACGCGTACGGCGAGGAGCTCAACGGCACCTTCGGCGGGCTAGCCGGCCTGTTGCAGCGCGGGATCGACATCGGCGTCGCCTCCATGTTCATGCGCGCGGACCGATGGCGCGCTCTGCACTACGCCGCCGAGACCATCGAACTCAAGTTAGCATAACATAATAAATAAACTGAACTAAATGTAACATATATATTTTTAATGCGTGTACACCGTCCGAGCAGAGGCGCGTTCATATTCCGTCAGCCGGCGCAGTCGGCGGTGGCCAACGTGTTCGCGCTCCCGTTCAGCCGCGGAGTGTGGGCGGCGGCGGGCTGCGCAGCGTGTGCGGCAGGCGCGTTGCTGGCAGCGCTGGCCGCGCTGGCTCGCATCGCGGGCGCACCCGAGCCCGCACTCGTCCATATCACGCTGCCGGACTGCTTCACCTTCGTCATGGGCGCCATCTGTCAGCAAGGTGCGCACTGACAAACATCGCGCCGACTCATTGTTACTCTCTGATTCGATTCAATAATCTATTGTAGCTTAAAATATTTATTTATTTTTTATCTGTTACTATTTCACAAAATAATAATAATAATAATCTTTATTCAGACACATACATGGTCCATACAAAACAAAAAATACAAATTTAAATTCTGACACAAAAATAAAAATCAAAATAAAACAAAACTCTTCAGAAAAAATGCAGGTATGAATGTGGTAACATAAGTAAGTATGTACATTTTAATATCTTTTAGGTTTATTAAATTAGTGTTATTACGATAAATGTATGACTGATACGAGGCAATCGTGCGATTCTAATATCCCTAAATTATTATTTATCTGTCTATCATTATTATTGAAGTCTTGATAATTATTGGAATAACAAAACCATCGCCGTCGTTTTTATCTTGTATGTATGTATGTATGTAACATGCAATTGGTGTCGCCTAGTACGTGCATTAGCGTGCAGCCTGCAGTCTGCACCGGGCAGCCTGCAGAATGCCGGGTGCTGGGTGCAGGTTGCAGGGTGCAGCGTGCAGCGTGCGAGCTGCAGCATTGCGGTGCGCAGGGTCGGAACTGGCGCCGCGGCTGTGGTCGCTGCGGCTAGTGATGTTCTGCGCGCTGCTGTCGTCGCTATTCACGTTCACCTCGTATGCGGCCAAGGTGGTGGCCATTCTGCAGGCACCTAGCGACGCACTGCAGACCATAGACGACCTCACCGACTCGCCCTTGGCGCTGGGCGTGCAGGACACCACCTACAAGAAAGTTTACTTCGCCGTAAGTCAAGGTCGTCCTGGCGAGCGCTCGATGGAGCGAGTACGTAATGCAATGACGTTGACTGTGGGCGGCGTGGGCGCAGGAGAGCGAGGAGCCAGCGACACAGCGGCTGTTCCGGCGCAGACTGGCGCCGCTGGGCGAGCGCGCTTACCTCGGCGTGGCGGAGGGCGTGGCGCGGGTGCGCACCGGCCTCTTTGCTTTCCAGGTGGTCACGCTGCACGGCAATTGTTTACATGTTACTGAACATATTTCATAGTAATTATATACCTATTTATTTACATGGAAGAGTTAGTGGTTAAGTTATAATAATAGATACAAGATAGTTAATTTACAGCCATTTTCAAGCCTATACTTATAGTGTTGGTTTGATTAATAAGGCTGCCGGCGGAAAAATAGGTATACATTTACGTACTTACGCAATATTTATTGAAAATCAATAAAGTACTAATCAAATTAGTTTAAGAAGTCTCGGCTTAGACAACTCCTCGCCGAAAACACTTATTGAGCATATTCATATTATACGGAAATAACCTTGGTGGGTTGCTGGTACGGGAAGGTGGAGCAGGGATCGGGGTACGACGTCATCAGCAGGACGTTCACGGAGCGTGAGAAATGTGGCCTCAAGGAGATACAGGCCTTCAAGCTGCCAATGGTGGCCGTGCCCATCCGCCGGCACTCCGGCTACCGGGACCTGGTGGCCTCCAGGTGATCGCTACACGTTTTCACAGACTAACTATAAGCTTAAATGCTTAAATTGTTAGGCTTAAATGATTTGCCATTTTCTCGAAAGAAACTATAAATTTGAACCATCGGCCAGTTTATCAGTGGGCGAGCTTGCAACTGTTTAATAAAGCGTTCAGTCTTGTTGATGTGGCTGCAGGCTGCGGTGGCAGCGCGAGGTGGGGCTGATGTCGCGCGCACGGCGGCTGTGGGTGGCAGAGCCGCCGCGCTGCGGGTGGGGCGGCACGGACGCGGCCGGCGTGGGGCTGCGCGACGTGATGGGGGCGCTGCACGCTCTGCTGGCGGGCGCCGCTGTCGCCTGCGCGCTGCTGCTGGCCGAGCGGCTCGCACACGCGGTGCGCCTCTCACAACTGCGCAGGAAGCGAACAGCGCCAACATTCGAACCTTAGAAGTCTGTCTCGTAAATTAGCAAGATTTTGTATACCTTCTTTGCTATGTTTATAGCGGTAGGCGCATGAGTATACAAATCATTACATTCAAACAAAAATATTGCTTAGATAAAATGAAAGAAAAAAGAAATAGGCTTATAGATATACATATAATATTCCCAATGCAAATAAGAGCGACTGTGATCAAGCAATCGACTTGTATTATAATCAACACCTTTTAGTTCGATTCTCGCCTTGTTTGTTTATACGCATGGTACATTTATCCGACGTTGTTAAGTTGAAAGAAAATAAGGTGTGCCTGCATGTCTGGGAAGAAATTCAAGTTTTAAGGAAATGTTCGCCGCTATGTTTTGGTTTTTAATTCGATAGTTAGTATTACTGTCTTTGTAAAAAATTATATGTCATACGTAGTTGTAAATACAAAAATCTTGGTTCGTTTATTTGATCTCTCCTTGACATCTCCGCCTGACATAGCAGTTTAGTAGCGACATGGCGAGGCGGGGTGGGGGTGGTGGTGAGGGGCCTGGCAGCAGCTAACAATGAAAACTACGACAAGTATTTTCTCGATATTTTATTTAATTTGATATCGACCATAATCTAAATGTGTACATATCAGTGTGTGTGATCATATCAAATAAACATAACAAAATTTTGTCTGAGGTGCTGCAGGAGGCAGCTCCCGATCCACAGTACATGGACCGGCCCCGTTGCGTCCGGCGCGACGTCTGCAGCTAGTATAGGCTGCAAGGGAGTGTGGGTTACTGTAGGGGAGAGCGGGGGGCTACAGGGGAGTGCGGGAGTGCTGCAGGCACTACAGGTAGAGGCAGAGGACGAGAAAGAGCGCGATAGCGAGCGCGGCCCGCAGCATACGGTCCAGCAGCAGCGCAGCTGCCGCCCACACGCCCGCGCCTCCGTCTCCACTCTGCAACACAGCGCGCTGCCAACTTACCAGAACCTACTAATGGATATGTATATTTTCAGATTTGCAAAAATGCATGTAATCACTTCAAGACATCATGCTTATAAAATTCAATGAGTCCGAAGTTTAAATTAATTTTTTGAAGATATATATATAACTTTACTATTTGACTGCATATGGAGTAAACGCAGGTCGAGTGGCAGTAGCGAGTTAGGACGTATGTACCTCAGGTGCGAGGCTGCAGAGAGAGGAGGCGGCGGCGAGCGCGGAGCGCAGACGACGCGGGGGCGCGGCGGTGACGGCCGCCAGCAGGCGCGTCAGTGCCGCGCACAGGGCCGCCAGCCCGCCGCATATGCAGAGCGCGCCCGCCAACTCCACCGCGAGCGGTGTCGTCGCCGAGCCCGGCAGCCTCACCAGCGCCGATATCAACCTGGCGAGTTTTTAAAGTCAACTGCATCGACTCCGCATGTGATTAGACACAATGGTAAATGTTCCGTCAGAGACACCTTTCACAACATTTGTTTTTTTTATATCTTTCTAATATTACTTCGTACTTTACTTGACTAATCTTACTAATATTATAAATGCGAAAGTTTAGATAGATGGATGCATAGTACATCCAGTTCAGCCCCGGATGAGGCTGAGTCCGGACACACAGACGTAGTGTACAGGCAATAATCAACGGTGTACCCCCAATCCGGACCACGGAGAAATAAAACCACCTAATGCTGGTTAACATAGAATGATTGTGTTGTACACCCATGTTGTATATACCCATATATCGTCTAATATTTGATCTTAACTATGTACCTGACAGGGAATCATTTACATGGTTAACATATGTATATGTGTGTGTGTTGTGGTTAGCGATTCGAATGAAGCTGCCGAGTGTGCATTACATGCCCCTCAGTCTTCTACATTTCCTGCTTGCGGTGGGATTTGCACAGAACACGTGTGCTCTACATATTTCTGTTCTTGTTGTGCGATCGTGTAATACACGCTCAAACTCTTCTTTGGCAGTGGTCGTTGATACGGACATGAATGTTACTACGCATATTTCGAACGGTTAATTACTTTGGAATTTAGCCTAACTGTAGAAGACGATTTATTAAGTATATAATATATAAAATAAATACCAGATGGCGGCAGTAAAGGAGGCGCAGGCACAGAGCGGGGGTCGTGCGGCTGGGGGCAGCAGCAGCGCCGCCAACAGCAGCAGCGCTGCGGCGGCCAGCACGGCGGTGGTGGCGAGGGCGTGGGCGGGTGCGCGCCGTCGCAGCCCCAGCGCCCAGGCGACCACGCGCCGCTCGCCGTCGCCGCGCCGCCACGTCTCCGTCGAGTGAGAAACGCTAGCTAGCTCCCAGGCGCCCGCCTCGAACACCGTCTGCCCCTGCAATGACACGACGCGGATACTCTTTAAGTTTGACAGTGATTTGTAAAAATACTAAGCAACTGAGTCATTACTTACGTATTTATTAAAATCGAAAACTCCAGTACAACATAAAAGTACAGCTACGATTAAGCATGGCGCATAATATGGATATTGGATAATACGAACTTCAGCGTGCGCGACGGTGAGGTCGAGCTGGTCGGAGTCGTGGTCTCGGGAGGCGAACTTGAAGACAGCGGTGTGTAGGTCCCGCGGCCAGTCGTCGAGGCGCAGCGCCAGGGGCGCCGAGAGGTCGAGGCGTGAGGTCCACTCGATGCGGCCGTCGCTGGCGAGACGAGCATGCTGGCCTGCTGACGCGGCCGGGTCGGCGCCGCGAGTGGCCGCGCTCACCAGCGCTACGTCGGGCAGCCAAAGTCGCTCGGCCGGCACGCCCGCGTACCCGCAACCCCATACCGAGGAGTTCCAACTTAGTCGTGCGTCCTCCCAGCTCTGCGCGATTCATCAATATATCTTTGTGTTTAAAATTATAATTTAGTTTTTTTAAATCGTAGTATAACAGTGGTAGAGCCCGCTTTAACATCTTCGCACGAATTGGCCCGGCACCCCCGGTGAAATACCACGACCACACAGAAGACAGGCGTGGAGTGGAAGCAATTCCGCGTTTTGTCTGATGAGTGTGCGTCCCGGAGGCCTAATTTAGACATCTTTCTCTTACCACCGTTTTTGTTATAAGGAAACGATGGGAATTGGAAGTGGACTTTCCGGATGAGAGAAACCATGGAAAGAAAAAATATATTCTTTCCGTGCATCCTCTCTTCCGTCGATTAAAGGCAACGCATATGCAATTGCGTATGTCTATGGGCAACGGTCACTTCACTATTTCAGCGATTTCAGGTGGCCGCTCGCTCGTTTGCCACCTAAAAGTTATAAAAAAAAGTCCTTGTATGGTACATGAAGAGACAAGTAGGCACTGATTTTGCGGAAAAGGGTACGCTATTATGACAAAGGGAAGCGTAAGTATTTAAAGTCGACATAAAATATTAGGTTATGTGTGCTTAATATGGATATGCGCGTACCATTTGCAAGTCGGCCAGCATTCTGACGGCAGAGCGGCGCTCGTCGAGGGCGGCGTGGCGAACAATGAGCGCTAGGCGCACGGGCATACGCGGCGAAGGCGGCGCGCCGCGGTCGTACTCCGCCAACAGCGCGTCCATCCGCTCCGAGAGTGCGCTCGCGTTGCCGCACGCCGCGCTCGTCACTCCTACATCTGGGTCATTACACACATATCCCTAACAACGCATCTGTTGAATTTTAACCGTCCGCCGATACAGCGATGTAGGCACCATGTTAAGGTAGGCTGTTATATTCTCCGAGCGAAACCGGCGCATCGTGAATCATTGTTCACTTATTAACGTATGTAGCAGAATTATTATAGCTTGAGGTTTGGCTTCACTACGATTGGATGTGGGGGCTAATTAATTTTTGTATTCATTATAACTTAAAAGACATATCACTTTAGAGTGGAAATGTGGTCGTGGGGAAACAAGTGAGGCAGAATAAAGAAGCAGCTGCTTACGAAAGTGCAGCAGCAGCAGCGGCAGCAGCAGGGCGTGCATCGCGGCCGCGCCGGCAGCCATCACGCATGACACTGTTCGCGCCCCGCCGCGCCGCGCCTCGCCGCCCAACTTTGCGCCGCCAGAGGTCCGCAACATTGCCCGCTACAGCTACCGGCCTCAGCCACCACGGCCAAATACTTCACTGATATCATATTTATTGTCCTCACAGTTTAGCTTATCGCTTTTAATCGAATGAAATGAATTAACTGTGAATGAGATTCAGATGTACCACTTCCGCCGGGAGGTCAGCAGCTAGCAGAGTTTTTAAAAATATTAAGGTACTGGAAAGGTGACGCGCCCCTGGTTTCGGCACTGATGTGGGGTTGCGGGGTGTGCGGGGTCTCCGGCGCGTGGGCGCACTATCGGGCGTCCGTCGCTTCAAGTGCTTGTCCCTATCGCACGTCACGACCTCGCCATTGTGGAGCAGGATGGTGTCGTGACGTGGCACGATGGACAGATTTCGATGAAACTTTGGAAGAGCCTTTTATCAGGACTAAAGCGCTTTTTGGCGTGTTTACTATGTCTTTTGACCTAATAATGAGACCAAAATAAATTTTAAGAAACTATTTGTTTAGTAAAAACGGCGACGGCGCCGCGCTCTGGACCAATGATAAGGTAGGGTGCAGTTGGAGACCGCCCAGGTCGCTGAGCAGAACGGGGCGCCTCGGGTGTGCAAATTATAGGCTCACGAAACCCTAATGACCTGATAAAAGGGGGCGCCGTGGAAACCCAGGTTACTGATACCCCCCGAACCTGCATTGCACGGTGTCGTCTCTGAGGAGCGCCTACGGGCACAGCGCCCCATTAAGGGCGCATTGAGGAGCCCTATTCTCGGGCTGGTCAATGGGGCGTCGCGGTGGTAAGTTAATCCCGTGGCGTCCCACATTATGGCTATGAGGGAACAGAGGGGCTTAGTGGGTATGCTCCCATTCGGGGAGAGAATCCCACATAACTACCGTGCCTTCCCAAAGGCATGAAGTATGCCTAAAGCATTCCCCTCTAAAAAAAAAAAGGTTACTGATACCCAGTTGTTTATTTAAAATAAATAAAAGTCAGTAGACATCATGGAGGAACTTTATTTTATACATCTTGGACTTAACACTAGACAGCTCATCCAAAGTGCGGCCATACACGGACAATATTGTACAATCTGAACCGAAAGGATACCTCAAAGCGCGCGTGGCGGTGCGTTGGTATTTTAGAAGCGACTGAAATCTTCAGTTCGCGTATGGCCGTTGTTAGTGACTCCGTTATCGGGCACAAAGTCCCAACCTGCGTGTCACTGTCAACCAACCACTAATCAAACAAACATTCTATACTTAGGTACAATTCAAAACAACCGAAACAAACAAGTGAGAAAATAATATGAACATAAATAGTTCACTTATCGTAACACGTGTATCGGCGCGGCGCGGCGCCGGCCTGGCACCGGATGTCGGGCGCTTCCTTCTCGCTCGATTCTGCTGCAAATTATTAACTAAATAGTGATATGCGAGGAGAACACAACACCATCTCACCTGATCTATATATTATATGACTTTAAAGGAAATTAGAAATATAGAATGGCACTATCAACTTTAGAAGACACGAAGCTCGTGAGGGCTGCGCCGCCGCTCGCTGGCTCACCCTTAATATATAACAATTATTACAATAAAACAAAAAATAAACAATAAGAATTTAACAAATAAAGCGACAAATAACAAACCCGTTATTCATTGTTACAATTACATATTACGTTTAAACTAAGTCAGTTTGTCATTGAGTTATTTATAATCCCAATGTGATAAAACAACTTTCTTCTATATATTAATTAAAATAACACAGTCAAATGTCAATATAAAATTAATAGGAAATTCATAACAACTTAGTTTGTATTCTATCTTAAGTTAACAATAACTAAGCACAATCTTATAATCACAAACTATTATAATAACACATTTTATTAATTACATTGTATTATAACTATACACTTCAGAGAATCCGATCTGCATTAGTTTTTTTATTTGTTTTTTACTTCTGCTCTGTTAAGGTAACAGCTAGCATCCCACGTACGTATATACGAGTACATATGCACGTATTTACCGCGGCCGCTCGTCCGCTCGTCCGCTCGCGCGGCTTCCCCGGCTCGGCTGGCCGCCACTCGGTGCGAGGGCGACGACAAGTATAGCTCGTTACATTGTGTATTTTCATTTTTTTCTTGGGGTGAATAATTATTATACGGTATAAATTTTGTTCGTTAGGACTGAAACGCATTTGGTCTTTGATCAATGTCATAGTGTAGGGTGGTTTCAAGGCCTGTTTTAAGTGAGGAGTTCAGTGGCAGTCGGGCGGGGGCGGTGGAGGCGCCGGCGGGGGCCAGTCGGGCT